ATTGTGGAAGTCTCTGTTGTTGTAGATGTTTCTGCTGCACTAGTGGTGGATGTTTCAGGAGCAGTTGTTATGATTGTGGAAGTCTCTGTTGTTGTAGATGTTTCTGCTGCACTAGTGGTGGATGTTTCAGGAGCAGTTGTTATGATTGTGGAAGTCTCTGTTGTTGTAGATGTTTCTGCTGCACTAGTGGTGGATGTTTCAGGAGCAGTTGTTATGATTGTGGAAGTCTCTGTTGTTGTAGATGTTTCTGCTGCACTAGTGGTGGATGTTTCTGCAGGAGTTGTTGTGATTGTGGAGGGCTCTGTTGTTGTAGATGTTTCTGCTGCACTAGTGGTGGATGTTTCAGCAGCAGTTGTTGTGATTGTGGAGGGCTCTGTTTTTGTTGATGTTTCTGCTACACTAGTGGTGGATGTTTCAGCTGCAGTTGTTGTGATTGTGGAGGGCTCTGTTTTTGTTGATGTTTCTGCTACACTAGTGGTGGATGTTTCAGCTGCAGTTGTTGTGATTGTGAAAGGCTCTATTGTTGCTATAGATGTTGCAGCAGGAGTTGTTGTGGCTGTTGAATAGTCTGTTGTTGGTTCATAAAAAAAATTCTTATCAGTTTAGATGTATGTAAATTTTTACAGAATAATTATTTTAAAACTTCATTACTGACTAAAGTTGATATAAACCATGTCTAATTTGATAGTTTTACCAGTCAGTACAGTCTCTCACACATGTATAATACAAGATTTGTTTAAACATTTTGCTTTTAATGTTTTGTCAGACGTACCTGTATTATTAACTGAGAAAGAAGTTATGTTCAGATCATTGTCAGTTTCTATGGCACTCTGTAATGCTTCTGCTATTTGGCCTTCTGATGGGACATCCTCTGTGGTGTTCAAAACGAGGTTCGATGTGGTAATGACTGACCCCGCTCTGAAATACATTTTTTAGAAATACTGTCACATTGGAATTAATTCTTGGATGTTTCAGGAGCAGTTGTTGTGATCGTGGAAGTCTCTGTTGTTTTAGATGTTTCTGCTGCACTACTGGTGGATGTTTCAACTGCCGTTGTTGTGATTGTGGAAGTATATGTTTCTGCTTCACTAGTGGTGGATGTTTCAGGAGTCTCTGTTGTTGTAGATGTTTCTGCTGCACTAGTGGTGGATGTTTCAGCAGGAGTTGTTGTGATTGTGGAGGTCTCTGTTGTTGTAGATGTTTCTGCTTCACTAGTGGTTGATGTTTCAGCAGCAGTTCTTGTGATTGTGGAAGTCTCTGTTGTTGTAGCTGTTTCTGCTGCACTAGTCGTGGATGGTTCAGTAAGTGTCGTCATGGCAGGTGTAGAACTTGTTGTTTGCGTCTCAGCTATTGCTAGAGAAAAGAAAAACTTAGTGTACTGTTGAAGTTTACATTAACATGCCAAAAAACAAAACAACAATTTGGTATATATTTTTCATTTTTGATTTGCCAAAACATTATGCAAGTTCA